ACTCCTCTAATTAGCCTAAGCCACACCCATATTAGTCAAAGACACTCCCATTGTGGACAAAGCCCCTCCCACTGATGGACAACGCCACTCCCACTATTTGGCTAAGCATCTTATACCGATGAAGAGCGTTACTCTTATCATGGACAAAGCCACTCCTACCATTTGTCTAAACCGTTACTATTTTAGGACAACGCCACTTCCCTAATTCGGCTAAGCCACTCCCACTAATGGGAAACGCCACTCCTTCAATTATCTTAAGCCACACCCATACTGGACAAAGACACTCCCATTGTGGAAAAAGCCCCTTCCAGTGATGGGCAACGCCACTCCCACTATTTGTCTAAACCGTTACTATTTTAGGACAACGCCACTCCCCTAATTCGGCTAAGCCACTCCCATTGTGGGTAAAGCCCCTCCCACTAATGGGAAACGCCACTCCTCCAATTACCCTAAGCCACACCTATATTGGAAAAAGACACTCCCATTGTGGACAAAGCCCCTCCCACTGATGGGCAACGCCACTCCCACTATTTGGCTAAGCATCAACTACTGATGAAGAGCGTTACTTTTAGCATGGACAAAGTCACTCCTACTATTTGTCTAAGCCGTTACTATTTTAGGACAACGCCACTTCCCTCATTCGCCTAAGCCATTCCCATTGTGGACAAAGTCCCTCCCACTGATGGGCAATTATCCTCCAATTATCCTTCCCATATTTTGACAAAGTCATTCACAATTTAGAACTTTTTTGGCATTAAAAATGCTAATTTGGAAAAAAATCCACTTATTTCAGAATCATTAACACATCAAAAGCAAATTAAATTTTATCTTGTTACAGAAATATCTTTAATTTTAATTTAGAAAAAAATGCTCCTTAATTGTAAGATTAAAATTCCTTTTTTTATCTTGATTTATAGTGCGTATGCTTTTGTTTCCTGTAATAGGTATTAAGTTAATGAAAATGAAGGAAATTCGGCACCACTGCGAGTGCGACCCATTTGCGAAGTACTTAGTAACGCTATCCAATCACTGTTATACAGCTAATACAATCAATCAGTGCAGAAATCGATCCATCACCATCCAATGCAATATTTGAAGATGTCGTCACGACCTCGATGTTCCCTTCACACATATATATATAATATGTAATCAACATTAAGGGATTAAATTTAAGTTTACAGCAAAACGATCAAGAAGAAACAAATAGTAATAATAATTCTTTCATTAAAAAGTTTTTAACGTAAAACTATGATATATTATTATAATTTTTTACGAATAATTTCGAAACTATAAAGTTGGACAACTGATAACTTTGAAAAAATTTATCTATCATCAACCCTTATATTATAATATATATATATGTGAAGAGCGCCCTTAAAATGTGAGCGTATCACACTTGAATATGAAAATAACGATCAATTTGGTAACTCAATTTTCCTACAAACCTTTATGATTGCAATGTCAATTCTAATTACTGTTCAACCTAAGGACAATAATTATCGCATTAAAAAAAAAAAAAAAGAGAACACACCTTCATTATCTTTTACATGAAGCAAGCACAAAAAATCATATCTCGCCTATACCCATAATTTTCCAGCAAATGAAACCATTCAACTCAAAGTATCGCTCATAAAACAATTCGAGATATATCCTTACAGGAGAATTTTATGCCTTTTTTTGAAGGGGAAAATGAATAACGAACGATCGTCACATAAACGCATCGAGGTGTACGATAGTCAAGTCAATATATATTCGCATCAAAAAAAAAAGAGGGGGATGATAATGCGAGTTTACCCGAGAGAGAGAAAGAGAGAGTGTTAGCATGATGCTATTGTGATGTTTAAGGACAAATGTGGGAGAGTGTATAACTTTTACAAAAACTCATAGTATGGTTTATAATATATACGGATATAAGGGGAAAAAGAAGGACGACAAAAAAGGTATGGCTTGAAAAACGAAAGACTTATTCCACAGGAGGAAAGAGAAAAGGATGTCAATCTGGAAGCAAGACGTGTAAGAGAATGGACACAGTTGGGGGTCAATTGAGATGTATAGGCAATTTATGCAGCACCACTTTTTTTTAGCCGGAAGTTCGTCGTAACACACACACCGACAGGCATCAATTTTATGAATTGATGCAAAACACTGCGGGAGTGACGAAAGATAGGAGAAAAATGGGGTGGTTTCCTTTTTCGATGGAATTAAGAACTCGGCCAACCGCTGTTTCGATTTCCCCCTAACCCTATTTTCAGAATTCAGGTTCTTTATATATAACATCCCTTGATTTTTCCATCACTCGATTTTCTTTCTTTCTTCAATTTCTCAAATCAAACCTGTTTACTCTCTCTCTCTCTCTATCTCTCTCTCTTTGGTTCTCTCGAAGCGAGCTATCAACCCTTATCGCGGGTGTGTCAATCACTCGCTAGATTCAAACTTATCGCTCGATTAATCGAACTGACAATGACTGTCGATTCGAGTTCGTCGTTGTGTGCTATATAGGTATATATGGGAATGAGGCGAGACGAATCGAGATTCGTCCAAAATTTGAATGAATGACAGAGGGCGGTGGCAGGAATAATTTTTCATGCAAGACTGAAAGTGTTTATTATATCCTTAGAGATAAATAATATTGTTCTCGGTTCATTGGCCATTTGGACAACAAAGAATTTTTTTTTTCAGAGAAATCAAAATTATCATTATGTATAATTTTATAAATATATTTATTATAAGAAGGCATAATCCTTAAGGAATTATTCTAAATCTACATTAACAACAGTTTAGAACTAGGATATATAGTAAAAATTACTTTTGTTTTCTTATCCAATTTCCTCTCTATGTGAATTATTATTGATATACAATTTCTAACAATATTATTGAAGATTTTATAAAAATTCTAGCATATATAACCCTATTGAGTAACATCCGTGATATGTTAAAAATGAAACCGGAAGTAAAGTTACGGATTAGGTTATATATATGGAGTATACTTGTTTGTTATTCCTGTTTCTCTGATATATAGAATTGGCGCCAAACCGTCTGGACTGATCTGATTGGTTGAACGCACAATCTACCCCCACTATTTCATGTTCTATCCTCATGAGATCCTGGGAGGATCCTGTTTCCAGTATTTCGCGAAGAATCGATGTGCTGACATATACTCGATTCTTGGAAAAGTGTGCGTGCAAGAAATTGCAACACGCATTCGGGTACTTGAAGCAATCTAAGAGTTGCGATAAAGGCGCATTTTCTCTAACTTTGAGTTTTATTTTAAAAAAAAGACTTCTCTTTCTTCTATATATGAAAAGTAATAATAATAATTCGGATTCAATGATAAATACTTAGTAGTATAGAATTTTTAATTATATTTGCAAATTAGCAACAAATTTTCCGAGGGCAGAGAATTTTTTTTTTGATAATTAATATCGAAAGTAGCTTTACGAGTTTGAATAACACAATTCGATTAAATTCTCATTCAAATAATCCATTTCTCTCGGCTAGAGAGAGAGGGGACGATTAGATATTCCAATTTCAACCAGAGATTAAACTAAGTTTTAATCCTGGATTTTCAAACCTCTCTCTCTCTCTCTCAATAATGACCCACCAATTAAGATTAAAAATGTTTTCCAATTTCTGTAGACGTTTAATTCTATTGTTTTGTAGTTTGTTAAGAATATGCTTTTAGGAAGAATTTTTACATAAGATATAAAATTTCCACTGTGAAAAAAAGGATTCAGGAGAAAAAATTTTTGATGAACTTGATAGTTTTTAGGTTTTTGGATCAAAAAAAAAAACAAAAACAAAAGGCTATAAATAAAAAATTAATGCCGTACGCTACTCAATTTTAAATGCATGAAAAATGTGCCTCGTAGGTGGCGCCACATGTTCTATGTCGTTTGACTCATTTTGAACTACAACAAAAATGAGTTCAGATTTTTTCTCTCAAAGCAAGGTTTTCATTCCTATGGTAATTTTTTTAAATCTACTATATACTATTATATTAAAATGTTTGTTTTGTCGTCTTCGTGACGTAACTTTTTAAAAATTTTTAAGGGTTTTAGTTTGGATTAAAATTGCACCATTGGAGGGAATTACAAGGCTTTAGTGTTGAAATTGTCGAAACGATATGAAGTCAATAGAGTTTACGTCACACACATATAGAGATATGTGCCCCCCCCCCAGATAATTACCCCACCCCCTCCTCATTCTCCAGAGGAACACAAATCCAAATGTGTGGTTTTGCAGCGTTAAACCATAGTACAGCGACAGATGCCGGTTCATCTGACCATTGTGAAGATGGTTGAGATAAGGCTACAGGGGTAGAGCAATATATATATATGCATAGGAACGTTTAGTCAACGAAGCAATTTTCGATTTTTGACAGTAGTCGCAATGAGAGGGAGGGCTTCATTCACTCTCTGTATCGAAACCATTTGCTGAATTGCATTTGAGATTGTATCTATGTTTTTTTTTTTTATCTCGTCGAATCCAATTTACAAGAATCGCTCATTTGAATCAGGATATATGAATATTCTTAACTAATCCCCCATCAACATCTGAGTCGTGAGTTGTTTTTACTTTTTTTGATAATTCAGGATTAGAAAGCAAAAAATAAAATCCCCTTATTGACAAAATGGAAATATCCTCTAAATGTCAGGCTAGCCACGTTCATCACTGGAATGTCTATTCAAATTTTACAGCTCATATTTGTCGCAATTAAGTATTATATTTTAGGGGTTATGGCCGCGAAGTATTCCATATTGAGGGAGAGTTGCTGCATGCTCGGGGGGTGAAATAAAGATAAATTTCGGGGGAGTTAGGCTTTATGAGAGAGGACATGTACTATATATATATGCGGATGGTAGTTTCATGATGTGTCTGAGTCACTCAGCCCTGATGTCCTTTTACGAGTTAGGATCTCGCTTCAAATATATTACGAATAAACGATTTGAGAACCGGAAATGCGTATATATATCGGACAAGATTCATGTATATATACTCACTTTATAGATACTCCTCTCTCGTCGTCAGTTTGATATAAAAATCCACCCTTCGTTCTTTAAGAAACCTCTCCTCTTCGTTCGTGAATGATCCTTCACTTAATCGTGTCTGCAAAATAAAAAAAAAAAAAAAAAACCAATCAGTCTCAAGTTTAGTATTGACGAAACGTGCTTTTAACGGACATCAGACTCTTGGGAAGAAAAAAAAGGGTGGGGGGGAACAATTCTCAATCGTAAAACATTAATCCTACATATTGGGTCATTTAGAAATGTTTTAAAATACCTGCACAACGTAAAGAATATAATTTCCCTATAAAAAAAAAAATATTTCTTTTATCGTGTCATATATATATATACAATTTATTTAATTTTACAATCTTCCATTTCTTTATGAAAATTATATTCGAGATGCAAATTATAATGTACTTGAGAATATGTCTGAAAACGTATTCAAGTTTTCCTTTTTCCACGTGAAAAATTTTTTAATGAAGAATGATTATATATATATGTGAGTGAAAATAATTTAGATAGTTCTTTTTTTTTAGAACGCAAGTTTTGCCAAGTTGATGTTAAATTCATGAATTTTTCGCATAGCATTCCACATTTTGTATATTATGAGATTATTTTGCAAAGAACTATATATATATATACATTTCGCACCCACAAAGATGCAAATGTCGAGTTTTAAAATACAGCGATAAGAAGTTATCTTGAAAATTGTGATGAGCAATTCATTGTTAAATCAAAAGCAGTGCACTTTTTTAAAAAATAATATATATAGTGAATTTGCAAAGAACTAGAATGAGAGTTGTTATTCTCTGGTATTTTTTTTGGAATTTTATTTAACAATTAAAAATAGGTTTTCCTATAGCTGCTTTAACTTTTTTTTTTTAAATAGAAGCTAATATCATTGGAGTGATAATGAAAAATATAAGATGCTTTTGATATAATCATTATTTAAATTTGTTTGTCACTCTAGTAACTTTTTTACTAACTCTTGTCACTCTAGTAACTTTTTTACTAAGTCTTTGTCACTCCAGTAACTTTTTTTTACTAACTCTTGTCACTACAGTAACTTTTTTTACTGACTCTTGCCACTTCAGTAACTTTTAAGTAACTCTTGTCACTCTAGTAACTTTTTTACTAAGTCTTTGTCACTCTAGTAACTTTTAACTAACTCTTGTCACTCCAGTAACTTTTTTACTAACTCTTGTCACTCTAGTAACTTTTTTACTAAGTCTTTGTCACTCCAGTAACTTTTTTTTACTAACTCTTGTCACTACAGTAACTTTTTTTTACTAACTCTTGTCACTCTAGTAACTTTTAACTAACTCTTGTCACTCTAGTAACTTTTTTATTAACTCTTGCCACTCTAGTAACTTTTAAGTAACTCTTGTCACTCTAGTAACTTTTTTACTAACTCTTGACACTCTAGTAACTTTTTTACCAACCCATGGCTAGAAATGAAGCGATGGCATCAAAAATTTTGGCACAGTCTTTTTTAATTTCATATCGAAAAAGATAAAAATCAACTTTTGCCCAAGAGGAGGTCAAGGCGAAAGGCCTGTTTATATATTTGTATCGATATTTGGGAATTTGATGTATATATATATATAGAGAGGGAAGTAGGCGACTTTGCAGAAATTCGGGATAGGTTAGCGAGTTTGAGGAGGTGAATCGGGAGGGTTGTATATAGTTGAAAAGAGGGTTTGGGGTTGGCGGCGTTATGGCGGACGCCGGGGGTGGCGCCGCGACGCTTTGGCGCCTCCGATGCCGAGACGCTCTACTGATGCTGCGGCTCCATATACATACCTATATATATCTATCTACACCTGAACTTATACACACTGACTTATATATCTAACTCTCTCGATTGGTTTTCTCATTTTGCGTTTCTTTCTCTCTTGCTCTTATTTATTTTGAAATCTTTTGCTTCTTGTCCTCTGTTAGAAAGAATACAGAGGCACAAGAACATACACACACACAGAGAGTAAGAAATGAGCTGGCTTTTGGAATCCTGGATTTTACTCTGGATAGGCGAGGTCACTAGAAGCTTCCTCAAACTCTCTAACTTGGAAAGGTGCAGAGCTGCGGAACGCAAAGATAGCGCATCGATTTAAGCTAAGACGACCTATTACTGCCGGCACCGCATGCTCCAAATGGAGTCTAACACTCTGCTTGCGAATTTCGAAATCTCGTGAGTTTCTATACCATTTCCCCTAAAAGGTCGAGAGGGCGAAAAATCGTTTTTGAGAATGTAAAAAAAGAGACCGGCAGTCGACAGAATATATATATATACTGAACTTGAAAGTGACGCAAAGCAGTATGAAAAATGAATCAGGAAATTCCTGTTCAAACTATCTTTGCGCATATTTTTTTTATTTTCTAAAAAAAAAATTGACGAAAATATTTACATGTTTTTCAAAAAAAATAAATAAAATTGAAAGATTCATTGTCGTTTAGGTAAGAACCTTGAAGATTTAGATGTTATAATGCTAACGTAACTCTTTAAGTGAATCATCGCTAAAATAGAATTATTATTATGCATTCTCTAAAGTTTCAGTGCGAACAAAACCTAATAATTCACTGAGAATTAAATCACTTAAAATTATGACTGAAAATGGCAAAAGTTTATTTTACCATGAGAATGATAAAGTAGAACAAGCGTGTGAAGTGTGTTTTTTTTTTGTAATAATTAACAAGTGCATTAAGCGAATTGAGCAGAGAATAGCTCGGAGAATTTACAATTTTATTTTTGCTGATCTGTTTTCAAAAAATTGCAATATACGCGGAAATTCATTTGAAAAATTGTTTGTATAAATAATTTCGTAAAAAAGAAAAATATTTGTTTAACAAATAAATTGATAATTGTGTGAAAATTAAATATCGTAAACTTGAATTCATAACACACATATTGCTGAGGTCAAATCATTTAGATTACATTTTTATGCAAATGACTCATTCACAATATGGAGATAATTCAGTTCCTGCTTCTTTGTTTTTATTATTATTATTAACTGTAACGTATACTTTATAAGGTAAAAAATTAAATTTTCCATAAAAATGAATTTAAAAAATAATCATACTATTTAGAATGAAGCATTAAATAATTTTTTTTTTTAACGATAAAAATAGATTTATAACAAAAAATTCAATTTTGATATCTTCTTTCCGCATTATGAGAAATTAATCAATGCTCGTCGAGGCGGTTAACAAAACATTAATAATAAAAAAAAAAAAAATGCCGTATACTTAAAATTAATGTATTGATAAAAGTATACTCGATAAATCCCGAAATAGTGTATGAGAATCGAGTAAACGCGTTTTTTTTTCTTTTTTTTTTGTTCGTATTAAAAACGCGAAGCACGTATTGATATCGACATATATGCACTTTGGACAATGTTTTAATAAAAGAGGCGCGACGAGATATAAAAAAAAAAGAAAAAGACGCAAATAATAAGGCAAAAAAAAAAAAAACATAATCGTGTAATAGGCTTGTTACACACGTACTCAACCGAGAATCGTACCGCTCATAAAATATCGTTTCAATCTCATATTCCCCTATTATGATGACCTCATATTTCCCAATTGGTCATTTAATATATTTTCTTATGCAATTATTTTTTTTTTCATTAACAGATTATATAAATAATAATTTTGAAAAAATTTTAACTCTCATATTTGGGTTACATTTCAAATTTTCATTTATATATTGGATTTAATAGGAAGAAAATAATTTTATACAAAAATATTCACCTAAGGGTGAGATCGAACTTTCGTTCTTATATTAAACAATACAGATCGCTTTGCCATAACTGAGCTAATAATTTATCCAAACTTTTTACATTCAATAATTAAAATTTCCCTTACTGATATTAAGAGATATTATTTATTCAGAATAAATTGTTTATTTCAATTATTAGTTATATCCTTAAAAAAAAATCCTAAATATTAAAAATAAAAGAAGGGGAAAAAAGAAATTGATCATAATAGGGCGATATAAGATTCGATAAAAGCCCTTTTTCGAAAACAAACAAAATTGAAAATAAAAATGGCTTCTCGACGAATCAAACGCGATTTTATATATATATATATAGTCATTCCCCTTCGGTTTGAGAAATCTGCTAATAAGTTAGGTAAATATAAAATCATTGTTGTTTTTACACGAGGTGTGTATATGTGTGTGTGTGGGTACATTGAAGTCGTTGTTGCCATTTAGGGGTGGAATTGAGGTGCCATGAGAGAGTATATATAAGGATAATCCATTAGACTAGTTGTAACCCAAAACTGCGCAAACAAGGGTGGTCTTGGATTAAATATATGATGGACGAATGAACCAAGAAAAAAAGAAAGGGAGTTTCAATCTTTTTGAAAGAAGAACAAAAATTTCCAAGAGAGAGAAAGAGAGAGAGGTATTTTAAGACAGGTGTATAATGCCCGGGATATGTAACCAGATATAATACTAATTGAAACATCTTTCAAAAAGTATCATTTTTCCAGTAAGCTATTGACATTTTCAAAATATGAGAAAAAGCTCGTTTGACTTGAAACAAACAATTTAATTAACCTATTTTGACTAAAATTTTATAGGTAATTCAAATAAAATTTTTTTAGAATTGATATGCGATTAAAAAAAAGAGAGATAAATCTTAAAAAGAAATTTTTAACAGCAATTGGAAGATGAAGCTCAATGTACAAAAGAGAACTTTTAATCAAATTTTCAGGGTCCAGATTTAATTTTCTGAGAGTAAACGAAAGTATAGGCAGTAAACTTTCGCCCCAAAAGTGTCGTGGCAAAGATACGATCCAGGTATACCGCAGACGTGTCTCTAAGTGGTCTGATTGAATTGGCTATGGAACATATATATATATATATAAGCAAATGAAAATGGTCTGAGATGGGAGGAAGCCGTCGTCGTTGGAAACTTTCTCGAAAAGAAATTGTCCCCTTATATATATATATATATATTGTGCGAAAAGAACCACAAGATCTGGCTTCGTGTGCAGTTGACACTTTCCACGGCTTTTGTTTCTAGTGAAAAAATGCAACTGGAGAAACAAAAAGAATAGGATTCAGAAAAATATATAGAGACATTTATAAATGGACTT